AATATTAAAGACAAATACAAGGAAGGAAATTTGATCGAATTTTATAAATTTCTGAACTCTGAGCAATTTACAAATTTAAAGAAATTTGCTTGTAAATTTATCTCCATTTTTGGGACGACGTACCTGTGTGAACAAACTTTTTTCCCAGATGAAGTACATAAAGTCGAAATACGGGGCAAATTTATCCGATGAACATTCAAAGTCGCTACTTGTGATTAGCGTTTCAAAATTTGAACCTCAATTTAATTAGATTTTAGGAATGCAAAAAGAATTCCATCATTCACATTAATTGTTTTAATATAATTTGTGATGAAAATATGAGCATTTGCTGCTACTGTCTGTTGTCATTAATATACGATAATTTATTCTCACGTACTTCGTATTTAGTTTATGAAATTCTGTGCTTTCAATAAAACTCATATACCTAGAGTTATTAATTTCTCATTTTATCCGGCCCGTTGAAAGTGCTGAATTACCTAATATGGCCCTCGGTTCGAAAAGTTTGGAGACCCCTGTTCTAAACCATACGCAAGTGCCTTACCAAAGGACCGCCACGGTTATAACGATTCGCCTTCGTCTTCCCCATATCCTACCGCTTCGTTTCTACCTTTACAAAATTCCTCTTTACTACGAGGTACTTGCTTCGTTTCAAAATCATTTTTCAACTGACGGTTCCTTTAACGTCCGAAGTGCTCCGATCGCGGCAGTGACGAGTATGGACCTCGCGGACAAAGTACCACGTTTTGGCCAGTCGGGTATTTAAACTCCGCTAGTGGAAGCGCACGTACAGTCCTAAATATTTATTTTTATATGTAGTAATTACCAGAGAGACTTGAGTAAAACCATAATAGAGGAATTAAAATGATACCTACGTGTACAACAGCAAAATAGAGTATACATATGAGTTATGCCCAAACTCATCCAGGAGCCAATACTTCTATTGTATAATCTGCAGATTAATGTTTTAAAAATATATAGTAAAATTCGATGTACATACCTTTTTTGTTGTTATCTGCTTGATGTATATATAGGCTGAATTTAAACAAAGTAATCGATTTCACTATGAACGCACAGAAAACAGTTCGCCCTCTGTATCTCAGCCAAGATGCAACTGTGTGTTCACGACCATAGAGGGGGCAATAATCTCTTGTAGCTATAACGGAAGGTCTTAACACTGACAAGGGACCCCTCTAGCTTTCTCTTGAATAGCCAAGCTTTCATTCTTCTGTGCTTCTCTTTATGTTGTTATTGCTAGTGGGGTGGAACTAAGTCCCTTGTACTGCGACCACTTCTGGCCTATTTTACGAGTCCCAGATGATAGGTGAGAGTGATTGTAGAGCATTTGGTGGAATGAAGATTGGCAGGGGAAACCGAAGTACTCGGAGAAAACCTGCACAAGCGCCACTTTGTCCACCACAAATTCCACTTGACCAGACCCGGGATCGAAGCCGGGTCACTGCGGTGGGAAGCCAGCGACTAACCGCCTGAGCTATGGAGCGGCCATCAAGAGATGTATGTGGTGTTTGTTATAATTTTCTTGCTCGGTTTAGTTAATGTTAGTTACATGACATTTGCCAACACGTTAATATGAAAGTGTATATTCTGTGTTTACATAGACAGACCTATATCCGACTGTGGGAAAGCATCAATTGTGTTGTAGATTTGTTATAAAACATTGGCTGAATGAAACAGACTTGTACTTTTATGTACTAAAGTTCCCATCATACACAGTAGTATCTATTTTTCACAGAAAGTTAAGCATGATTAAAAGTCAAGTGAACTTGTACAAGTTGTATTTTAATGCAAATACAATAAATAACCTTGATGTTGTGAAATATAATTACTTCCACAATATATGCTTGTGTGATTCTGGTGCATATATACTACCTTTGCGTGGAACAAGTGCAACCAATCTCATAATTGTAAGAAACATATATTGATTAACAAATGCAATACAACCTGTATACAGTATCTGTTAAAATCTTGAAATTAGTTTGTGAATATTTATTACAATACATTGTTGTGTGTGAGGTTATTGATCTGTGTGGATTTTGATCTGNACTATGGAGGTCTACAAGATATGAAAGTGCAGTGGCAATGCCTGTTTGTGAATCCCACAGCGTCAGCTCATTAACTACCTGACTGATTTTCGCTCAACTTAACGTTAAGGGACTGAAGGCTATCCCAACACCATATTTCGTAATTTATATGTCAGTAATAACAACATGAAGGATGGATGATACATATTTTGATGCTGCAGGTCTAGATAAGGTAAACTGGTTCAATTGTTCAGTATGCATCCATCTGTACATCCATGTGTTTGTTCTGGTAGAGCTTTGTTACATTTGATAAGGTTTACATGTCAGAGCACTGTTACTGACCTAAATATGTGGGCAGAGCTTGGTCTAATTGTATTGTTAGATTAGGGCATATATAGTAATACCAGTGCATGGCCACCTTATGACTGGATATTTAGAAAATTTTCAAATTCTTAAGAATTTCACACTCTTATATTTACCACATTAGAAATTCAGATATATTCAAATATTTTCTCCCTTATAAATAGTAGAAAATTTTAATTCCCTGTGTGATACAAGAAGTTTAAATTTACAAAAGCTTTGAATGTTGTATTTTTCTTAATGTGTGTTTTATTAAAGTTTGTAAAATAAATACACTCACATGTCACAAGCATGTCATTTAGTATCTCTCCAGTCACCTAGGCTACTCTGTGCAGGTTTCATTTTCACTAGGTTGTATTAATATGTGCCGAGCTTGGGAATGCATGCTTGTCATGTGACACTGAAGCAGTAACTATCAAACAAACTATGTGATTTAGATCCCAGAATCAAGTCTTGAATAAGAGATGGAATATTATCTGCAAACTATTTTTTTTTATTTTTTCAGTAGTTCTTCTGTACTTCCCATCTTGATTTTAGTCTTCTATTTCAGTATTTTTCTTCTATTCTGGGTTCAAAATCTTCAGTCTTAATTCTATCTTCATTCTAAACACATGCCCATACCATCTTACTACATATTTTCAAATTTATTCTTCTTTAAATTATAATTTCTTGTTTCTTATTCCTTGTCTCCTGGCTTTTCCTTCTGTACTTAATTTCATCATAACCTCTTCTATCTTTAACTATGAACATTTGTCATTTTTACCATGTTAAGCAGGCCCCTTTTTCTCCATAGTACTGGCGGTGAAAGGAGCAGGAGAATAAAGGGAAGAATGAGGAGCAAGGATATGTGAAAGAAAGGAGAGAGAAGGAAAGAGAAGTAGATTGCACTGCTATATAACTATATATCAGTTGGGAGAACATTTCTTCATCATAGAGCTAAAGACTGGTGGGGACAATGGATAAATCAAGCATGTTGGGGTATTTAGTATCACTCACTCACCCTTTTAAGTACAGTGCCATGCATCCTGATTCCCCTTCCTCTAAAACCACTCACAAAACTCAGCCCTACATTCAGGATAGTCTTCCACCCTTGCATGGAACAGTGTTTGCACACAAAATGTCTACTTTGCAATTTCAGGAATCCAGTCTGTACTTACCTTGCTCAGTACAGTCTCCCTAGCACCTCCCCTTATTCAGTGAACATGTGAATTGCTTTCAAACCATACAGAAGAATNAAAAAACCCCCCCCCCCCCCCCAACTGATGAGTGACGTGTCCCAGATTATTGCTTGTACATGTCTCACACAGTACCATGAGGTCCAAATTTATCCCAAGTTCTTTAAATTGTTAGTTATGTTTGAGACTGAGTTTCAAATTCACATCTCCACTGCCTTTGCGCCTCACGCATGTTCTCAAATTTTGAGAACCACTTCGTAATTGCAAATACAGCCATCTGTTAAGTGCATACCACACTACTTAGGGGCATATTAAACTTTGGCTTCACAAAAAAAAAATTGTGAAAAATATTCTTTTTAAAAATGTGTATACTTTCTTTAACAGCCTGTATATAATGACAGTTTAATGTAATTTAGTTTCTGAATATCAAATTTGGAGGTTCATATTTTAAGGATTCAGGATGAAAATTATACAATAGCATTGGTGACAATATATGCTTCACATTCATGCTCACAAAATATGTTTACCTCCCTATTTTAGCAGAAATAAGGGAAGTGACTGTATACTTGTGTTGTCACATACAGCAGAAGTAGGTGCTTATTCTTGATCTACCCATCTTACAAGAATGGGTCAAGTAACACCTTCTAGCCTGAACTCCATACAATGGCAGAGCAACCCTTCAAATACACCTTTCATGTAAATTCCAGTATCATTCTCCTTGTTTAGTATTCAGGGATCTCAGATATACAAAAATATTTTGGACAGTGTAAAAAGATTATATCTGAATTGCCATGTCAGCACCAACAGACAAAAAATGAAGTGTTCCTTCATGTCCCACTTCAAATTACTCTGAAGTTGTGAACTAGAAGGAATGTATAATGTTAACATATTTACAATAATAATAAAAGGGAATTTAAAATTAATACAAATATTATGTTTTTGAACATTATCCATTGTCCTGTCTCTATCTAAAAATACCGTCTTCAGGTAAACCCTACTCAGTTGGGCCCAATCGTTAGAGCTAGTCCCTGCCTCTGGAATAAGACAAGTTTCACAGTACGTGTCATAAAAGCATGATGTCTATGTTCTCAAGTTTGTTTTGAAGCAGTGATATGATATGTCTATTCATTCAACTGTGAAATCTGCTGTATTGTTTTTCTTAAAATGCCTGATGGAAACAGGCTTCACATTCTGTAGACTAATATCCTACATGGCAACTCTAACTCCTAGTTCTGTAGGATATTACCATTCTGGACAATTTTCGACAAACCATTCTCTAGGCTCATATCCAACAATACACTTTTAAATTGGACAATTCAAAGATTATAAAGCACAGTTATAAATTATACTAACGTATTTTTAACACATACAAACTCGTCGAAAAAATCTTTTATGACAGTTTTATAATGCAGAATTAATCTTCTTGAAGTCAAAGGGCATAGTTTATTTATTCATGTATTTATTTGTACTCCAGTTGGAAATGTACTTATATCATACACTCCATTTATTAGTGCTACAATATACCCCCCTCCCTCTTTCTCACTCACTGCAGACAAAAATATCACTTGTCAATATGACTAAAAGTTAAATTTTTAAAGAAAATAATAAAACAGACTCCTGCCTATACCTTTGGTAGTCCTAAGATATTAGCCCCTCCAAATTTTGCCAGCTGAATCTCTCACCACTCTTCACAGCACTATTACATTGTACAAATTCTTACCTGAATCTGTTTTCAATTTAGTAGTGACTAAAATTACACAGTTCAATATTCATCTTTTTCTAGCCACTAATACTGTTCAATTTATTGGAAAGAAATAATTTTATCAAACAATTTAATAAATACATCAACTTGCTCAAAATATCTAGCATCATAAGTTTTCTTCACTGGATCTTCCCCAGTTCTTCACACAGCCTTTTCAGATCAACAGACAAACTTCTTCTAAAAAATGAAAGTGATATGATATCATATAATCAGTCTAACTGAACAAGGCCTTGGACAATAAAATAAATTTCCTTCCATTACAGACACAGCACTGCACAGCAATTCCAAGAGTAGCTCTCAGCTTGGGGAAAACTAGTAGCACAATGTTGGCTACTCTGATGCATGTTCTGGTTATGGATACCTCCTTGAGTCTTAGCACACAAACCATGTCCCATGATCTCCAAATTACAATCCATTATCAAATTAAAAGTACACAAAATGTCACATTGTGACATAACATTCATGTCCAATGGGGCTTTCTTTTGACAATAAGAACAACAACTGACATCTGACAAGGCAGTAACACAGTTGAACTGTCAGTATTAAAAATGAAGCATTCAAGGTCAAATATAAATTACCATATAAACAATTCTGGGAAGTTATATACCTGTATACAAGACAGAATATTTGTGGTAGTAAACTAAAAAAGTTTCAAATTATGACACAAAAATATCATAGCCACGCGACCACAAGACACAGATGTATGAATTAATCTTAAAAACATGCAGATGGAATTGGAGCAATACTGTTTCAAACAACAGAGTTCACGATATCATCTTTGAAAGATGTCCACATGCGGGTCAATAACTTGAAGATGGGGGACTCTGTCGTGGCAATTTTAAAGGTCCAGTCAGTTCTGCAATTGGATCTGGCAACACTTTGTACAGCACAGGTGAAGTCCAATTGCAACAATTTTACTTTCTAGTTCAATATGAATTCCATCAATTCTTGTTAATTTCACAGCACAAAGTGAACCTGCAAAATGGTGCTACTTTCCATTTAGGAACCCATTGTTGCTTCACAAATGAAGTAGGTCCAGGAGTGACACCAAGACTTGGCATGGTCAAAAATGAAAATAAGGATTAACTTGGTCATGTATTGTCAGCACCTGTCAATCTTTCATCTTCTGAAATGTCACTGGCTGCAGTAACAATGGTTGTTACCGGGGGCGCAGGAAGAAGAGACGATGCAGGGTCTGTAAGCGTTTCATGCATTTCAGTAAATATGCTGATGAGATTGTTGAGTCCTATCAGATATCCATCTTCGTGGTTCCCAACTATCCATTTTGATGAGTGCGAAATGGACATACCATTTGGGAGAACCAATGTCTTAGCAAAATCTATTAGCCACACATTGGCATTCGTCTTGTCGTGAACAAAGAGTAGAGAACTGCCAATTACCTGGAATTAAAACAGATGAAATTATTTCAATGAGCATTTGAGTATATGAGCATAAGCCATAATTTACTATTTCAACAAACACTGTATGTATGTGTGTCTGTGTGTGTGTAATTTCTCATTAAGAGATCTGAAAATTCTTCATAGTGCAAGAAATGGGAACATAACAATCTGAGACCATAAAAAGTAAAAAGTAAAGTAAAGCTATCCCTGTAACAGGCCGTGAAGGCCCACAGGGTTGTGAGACTTTCAAGGTCCCGCATTATCTAGACAATCAGCTCGAAGATGGCGGTAAGGTTGTTAGCCTTACACGCCGGCAGCTCTTTACTCCCCAGGAAAATTATTTATTTAATTCCTGGTACTCATTTCTGTTAGAGGCTGAGTCGACCCCAGGGCCATAGTGTGGCTGGAAGAATTAGATCAACTGAAAAAATCCAATGACCTCATTGGGACTTGAACCCGTGACCTTCCGGCTGGTAGCATAGTGCCAATCTGAGGCCATACCATATCAAATCTTTGCCCAGTTTGAATTCATATGGTTCAGGGCAGAATTGAAGGGCATCTCTCATGAACACTGCAATTGTCCTTCAGGTATCATAAAAGAATTTTTTGACTATCTGAGCAACTATTAGCTATTCAAAATGATCTCTACTCCATGGAGTTAGTCAATACACTCCTCATTTATTACAACTTACCTCATGTGAACTGAAGAAATCTGATACCTCTAATGTAGCTTTTATAGCCTTTAGCCTCTGTATATATTTTGGCTGAAAGAATAAGAATACACATTACATTTACACACTGAATGTTGAATTTATATCCCTATAAGTAGCATAACCAAGCCTACTTCAGAACAGAGGTTGCCCCCCCCCCATTAAAAGTACTGAACACAATTTGCATATAATATTAAAGTTTTTGTACCATCACATAATATTTCATTGTTGTATAATAAAACAACTGAGATCAAATGAAGACAACAAGTCAATCAGTTCACTTTATTAACCACACTACATGTTTCGTTCTCCTTTGACAATCATCAGATGTATATGAATAAAAACAATAAATAGGTTAGGTTCATGTTCACAAATATGATAAAAATGGATCTATTTTTCAACGTCATAAATTAAAAGCTGTGTACATGTTTAGGGGGTGGTGAATATATGAAAATATATTTGCAGTGATATAGAATTATTAATATTTTACAAAATGTATATAAAATAAAAAGTTTGTAGATAAACAGTAGCCTTAATGGTGGTCATACTGTGCTATGTTGTGTTCCTGGAGTGGGGGCACTATATGATGGTAGATTTTCGTTTCAATTGTGTGTATAGTTACAAATAGTATGATGTTGATATAATTGTGTATCTTTATGTTATTTTAATTCTTGACCGTATTATATGTATTTCATGAGGAACATAAACTGAGGGTGTTTCAGAACAGGGTGTTGAAGAGAATATTTGGACCGAAGAGAGATGAAGTGTTGCAGAAAACTGCACAATGAGGAGCTTCATAACTTGTACTCTTCTCCAAGTATAATTAGAATGATCAAGTCAAGAAGGACAAGGTGGGCAGGACATGTAGCACGAATGGGGGAGATGAGGAATGCGTATAGGATATTGGTGGGAAAGCCAGGAGGAGAGGGACCACTGGGAAGATCAAGGTGTAGGTGGGTGGACAATATTTAAATGGATCTTAGAGACATAAGAAGGGATGGTATTGATTGGATTGATCTGGCTCAGGATATGGACCAGTGGAGGGCTCTTGTGAACACGGTAATGAACCTTCGGGTTCCATAAAATGCTGGGAATTCTTGAGTAGCTGCAGAATTGGCGGCTCCTCCAGAAGTGCTCAGCTCCATGAGTAAATAAGTAATGAAAAGTAATGGGTGTATTGTGTTGAGTGGTTGAACAAGCTGCTGTGAAGTAGTATTCATTCATCTCACAGATTTTTCTTGTATGTTCATTTGATAGGTTTAAGTGTTTCACTGTGCGTGGTCTTGGCATTATTTTTGGTTCATTATATGCGGTGGTATTTCCTATGGTTGGTTTCAATGCTTTCTGTCTGTGATGTGTCTTCTCTTGTACTGTCAGCATATTTGTAATTGACTGATAAGGAAATGGTCTGATCTGACATGTCGAAACCTGCCCTGGTTTTTT